TAAGCTAAGCTATATGTTATAGCTAACAAAGATGTCAGACAGAAGCTTAAATGAAATATATCAACCAATAATAAGTCTGGCAAAGCAAAAAAGCAGCCTACAAAGAACTGTAGAAAATTGTATAATAGAGCACAAAGATTTTGGCAGCTGTAGAACATTGTGACAAGAGTTAATCATGAAGCAAGTAAGTGGCCTTGTAGCAAGACTAAATAGACAAGACAGTCTTGGACAACTAACAAGACTAAAAATAACACAAGGCTGTCAAAGAGCAGGCTTAGCAGTAGATATATGAAAGACAAAAGAGTGGCCAGAAACTGAAACATATTTGAAGAACAACTTAGCATGCCTCACAATACTTAAAGCAAGAAAATTAAAAATAAACATTAAAACAGAAACTAAGCTATAGACAATGCCTGGGTATGATACTAAAATACAAGAACTAGTAGATGCACAACTGTGAAAAAATGTAGCAGTTAAAGTAAATAAAAATAGTTTAATATATTTAAATTAATTACTCAATACTAGAGAAGAAAAACTAATTACATAGCAGCAATTAAAAAGCTATTAAGACTAATCAAATAAAGGAAAAAAAGCAGAATAGTTCAAAGCAATTGAATCAAAAGTGCTCAACAGCCCAGAAAACAGAGTAGTGCAAAGATGTTTTAAAACCAATAAACAAAATACTCAGGCAATGCAAGTTAAATAGGAGCAAATATCAGAAGATAAAAAAAGAAAAGAATGGATAATATATGGTACACAAGATCACAGACAGCTGGAAAAGATGATCAAAATGAAAAAAAAAGTATTAATTGAACACTGGCAAATAGAATGCAAAGAAAACGAAGTAGCAACAGAGATTAAAAGATGTGAGTGATGTATAAGAGAAGAAGAATAGATAGAAAACAGTTGCTAGCAATAGACAAGATTAAGTGAAAACATTCATATAATTTCAGATAGATTAATAAGTAAGAGCAGTAATCAAATCAAGATAATAGTAAACCAAATAACAAACAAAATAGAAAAAAGCAGATCAAAAATAAGTGAATGCAAATTAAAAGATCTTATAATGATAGAAAACTAAAGATAAAAATTATTAAACAATAAAAATTAAAAAAAAATATTAGTTAAGAAATAATAGAAGTTCTAAAAAAAAATATTATAAGAAACAAAAGCAAATATACAATATATACTAATAGTGCAACTAATAGAAAAGACAGTAAAGAGCTAACAGTTAAGAACAGTATGGGTATAGGATAGGTCCAAACAAATAAAATACAAGAATAGCCAGAAGAAGAATTAACATTTGGACTTGAAAGATGGCAAACATTAATGATAACAGAGCTGGTAGCAATTTGGGCAGCAATCTTAACAATACTGAAAGAGAAACAGATCGAGATACATATTGATAGTAATGTTGCAATAAAAAATATTAACAGAAGCTTAGAACAAGCAAATAGAAACAAAATTATTAAAAAGAAGAATGCAATATGGATAATGAAGATTAAAGACCTAGTTAAGACAAAAAATATTCAAATAGATCTAGTTAAAGTTAAAAGTCATAGTAAAGATAAGTAGAATGATAAAGCTGATAGTTTAGCGAAGAAAAGAACAATAAGTAGGAAAATTGTATAGGCCAAAAAAGTCAGTTGTAAAGAGATAAAGTACTGCCTAGAGTGAAAAAACAAATGAATTGACATACCAATCAGACTGCTTTGCAAGTTAGTAACGAATGCAAAAATAGGAGCAGAGTAAAAAGAAACAAGAGCAGTTAAAAGTTTAGAGCCAGAAGCAGAAATTACAATATATGATTGGACTTATTTGTGGAAAAAGCTAAAGACGACTAAGAGAATACATTGCACAACAAGAAGAAGTAATGCGAAAAGAAGTGCTTTCATTAAGTGCATAATAGATAAGCTTTCAACCTTGAAAGAACTTAACAAAAGAAGGTCTAATATATACACAACAGTAGAATGCCAAGTATGCCAAGAAAAAGTAAAAGAAACACAAACACATTTGGCAGCATGCAAGAGGCAAAAAAATTTTTGAAAGAGAATTCAAAATGTAAGCATTGCAACAGTGTAGAAGAAATTAAAAGAAGAAGAAAAGATCTGAATTCCTCTACATGTGTTATATATGGTGCTCTTTGGAAAAACAAAAATAGAAGAAGTCAAAATGAGAGAAGCATTAATAAAAAGTCTAATCCCAAAAGAAACACAAGATAAACTGGCATAGCTCTTAAATTCAAAATCAAGACAGCAATTTGTAAATACAGTAGCAATAACAGTTTGGGATACATTTTATGAACAAGTATAGAGAATACGTTGTGAAAAAATTATCAAATAGGTGAAAAAGATTGGAATAACAGGTAAAATTAAAAGAAAAAAAAATGAAAAGCTGAAGGAACTAAGAAAACAAAAAAAAACAAATCAAGAAAAAATAGAAGGGAAAAAAAAAAAAATAAGAGAAAAAGGAAAGCAAGTTGAGAAGAAAGTAATAAAGACAATGTTGGGGCTTGTCATGGAAGAAAGAAGACCCTTCTATTATGGACTTTAAGTAGTCAGACAAGCAGCTTACTATGGCTCGAAGTAATGTAGCAGGTTGTACTTAGATATCAGTAAGGTAGCTGGGTGATGCTAGACTTAAATATTAGTGATATTTATATAGTTACAAATATAATTCCAAAAACTTAATAAAGTACTAGTATAACTGCTTATATGTTAAAAAAAAAATAAATAAATAAATAATTGTAAAGCTAAGAAAATTAACTTCTGTGTAGGTACTATCATCTTAGTCACATTGAGTTTTGGTTATTCAACAGTTCTAAACAGTTTTTAACCCAAATTTTAAACTTTAATTATATTTAACTAGGTCCATTGTCTAAACTAAATTCTAATTAGAATTATAATATCTTAAAAAATTTTTAAAGACTGTGTATAAGTAAAATCAATCTATAGCATTAAAATATTGTTTTTATAAACTATTTAGAAACATTTAAATAAAAAAATTAATTTGTAATGCTAGATATATTTTCTCTGTCACTAAATAAAGTTAAAATTTTTAAACCATAAGATTAATAAATTCTTTTAATGTAGTTTGTCTTCTACTTTCATTATGCAAATAGTTAATATACTTTTTAAGGCTATATAAGTCTTTCATTAAAGACAAAGTAATTTCTAGATCATTTTGCTGAATATATTTTATTACCTTATTAAGTCCAACAATTGCATCACCAATTTTAATCATTTCTTCATTTTGTTCTTTTTCTGATTCACTCTCATTTTGTCTATTTATTATATCAATAATATTATCTATAGATAAGTCTTCTTTGATATTTATATAATTGTCAATATTGATATATTCATATGCATCTATAGGATTATCAATTGGTAAATGTTGAATAAGATCTATAATTTCTTCCTCCAATTCAGTTTCTCCAAGCATAAACACATTTAATTCAGTTTTTTTAGACAAGAGCACATCTAATCTGGTTTCTTCAGGCATAAAGATAATAGAAAAAAGTATACTAGCTCTATCCCAACTACGAATAATTGTACCTGCAGTAACATTTTTCCATGTTTGAGCCGCAAAGTTAATTGCATCATATAGTGTAATATCAGGTAGAACTGGATTGTCTTTGGTAATTGTATCATAAGATTTAAGACAATTTTAACACAAAATACATCGATATTGTGTCTACAAAAAATAAATATAACTTTTCAATAAATAATAATAAATTGTGATTCTTAAGATTTTTACAGAATAATGCATTACAATATAGATTTCATTAGTTAGATATAGTCTAACCAATAAAACCCACTTTATAGATATGCCATTCTGTAAAAACCTTATAAATTATTATCATAGCTAAAGCTTGAAATTAGGGACCTCGATTTAAAAATATGACAATTATTTTAAAATTACCTTAAGGCTATAACCAATTCCTTAATTAATAGGCTGAAGATGGGATGTTGTGTTGGAAGGTAAAAAATGTATACAAATATTTGATAAGTCTTGAATATTTTTTGAATTATGTGATGAAGCATTATCAAGAAGTAAAATAATGTTTCGTTGAGCAAGTCTCATTTATATTAAATCATTCTAAAAAATGAGTAAATATACTTCTTTGCATCTATCTTTTTTATTCCAATAATATCAGACTGGAAGAGTAGATTTGTCAATACTACGAAATACATGTGGAGTTTTGTATTTATGAATAAAAAGAAGTGGTAATTTTTCATCACCAGTAGAATTACAAGTAATCATAAGTGTAACTCTGTTCTTTGGTTTTTTTTTCCTAAAACTGGACTATATGCAAGTGTCTTGCTTGGCTCAAGTTGCCAAAAAAGCACTGTCTTATCACAATTGAATATGTTTCTAGGTTTATAATTTTAAAGAATCTCTTAAAGTTTTATATAAAAGTTTAAAACATCTTCCAAAGGCACACTACTGGCTTCTCCTTTACATCGATATGAAGAAATATCATTTCTTTTTTTAAAGTTAACAAGTCAACCATCAGATGCATTAAATTTAGTAATTCTAAAATGATTAGCAAATTCCTTAGCTTTAGCTTGAAAAAGGTGGCCTGTAAGAGTAAGTTCATTTTTGATTGCCTGCTTAACCCAAATAGACATCACTTTTTCAAGATCAAAGTAATTAGGTTTTCTTTGATGTTTAGCTTGAATTAAAGTAGAATCATCTTTGAGACCTAACTAGTATTCAGAACATTTGAGAATATCTGATACTGATTGTTCACTTATTCTATACTTCTTAGCTAATTTGACATTTTTTAAATTAGGATTATTGTATTTTTTTTCATATAATTCCTTTTTTTGTATACTAGTTAAAGTTATTCTCTTCTTTATATTAGTATTAGAGTTTTCTTTATGATTTTTAATTTTATTCATAATGAATACAATTCATTAATATGCGATCTGGATTATGTTTTCCAATTTATATATTTTTTGCAAGTTATTTATACTGATTATTTAGCTAAGGTGTAATTATTATTCTTTACTTTTTTTATCACCACACATTATTCTATAATAAGCATTATTATTATAATCTTTGTGTTATTATAATTTTACTATCATCACTAATTATTTAAATTTTATTTAGATGCCAAAATAAATAAAACAATAAGTTCTTAGATTTATAGACTCTTGTAGAATACTCCAATTGCTTTTGTATTTTCTATTTTTTTTTTTTTTTTTTTTTTTTAATCTGATAAGTTCATTCTTTTGCATATGCACCTTTTCTTAAGAAATATTGTTATTTGTACACCTTTTCTTAAGAAATATTATTATTATTATAATGTTCTGAAACCTTTTTTTTGATGATTACTAGTTTGTTAAGAACCTTGTTAAATAATGAGATACATAGTAACTTATTTAATTCATTATTCAATAGCGATAGTGAGTTTATAAAATCTTAATTTATACTAATGCTAATATTAAATATATATTATTTGTTGCATGAAATGCAATAAAATATGTATAATAGATTGTTGTGGCCCTTACTGACCACTAATACAAATTATACGAAGGTAAGCATTCAATTAATCTTTAATATATAGTATTTTTGAAAATTGAAAAAAGCAATTAATTTTTATTTTCTTATTCTTTATATATATATTGCATTGGACTCTAATCAATTGTATTATTTACATCATTAATCATTTATTTAACTTATACTATATTTAACTTACTAATGATTATATATTTTTTATATATCCAAAAACTAATGCGAGACATAAGTACTTTTTTCAATATGCTATTAATACTAGATATTCTCAACTGAATTATTGTTATTATTTATTCTGAAATCTTATTTTTTTTTCACTAAGATTATTTGTTAATTTGGTTATATGCAATATTTCAAATTATTATAGTGTTGATGTATGTTTTATTTTTTGATTTGATTATTATTGTAATGTACTAATATGTATGATTTATGATGCAAATAATTTAGTAATACATATCTAGTTTATTTGTTAATCTAAATTTAAACTTAAATTATAATAACTGGTTTGACCTTTAAATTGAGCACAAAATCCAGTTG